TCGGCGACGAAAGGAGCGATGTGATCCTCTTGAAATTCCTCCGAGCCAGAGACTTCAAGGTGAAAGATGCTTTTACGATGATCAAGAACACCGTTCGTTGGCGAAAACAGTTCGGGATCGAGGCTCTTCTGGACGAGGACTTGGGAAACCAGTGGGACAAAGTGGTGTTCTCCCATGGCGTCGACAGAGAAGGCCACCCAGTTTGCTACAATGTGTTTGGTGAGTTCGAGAACAAGGACTTGTATCAGATCACCTTCTCCGATGACGACAAGAGCTTGAAATTCCTCCGATGGAGAGTTCAATTTCTGGAGAAGAGCATCAGAAAGCTCGATTTCAGCCCCAACGGCATCTCCACCATTGTTCAAGTCAACGACCTCAGAAACTCCCCTGGATTAACCAAGTGGGAGCTCAGAAACGCCACCAAGCGAGCTCTCCAACTATTCCAAGACAATTATCCTGAATTCGCTGCCAAACAGGTACCATCCTCTTCTTCAATCCATTTTCCCCTCAAACACAATTTATAAAAACTAGTGTGATCTTATCATAATGACTTTGATTGCTCCGAAGGTGTTCATCAATGTGCCATGGTGGTACTTGGCCGTGAACAGGATGATTAGCCCCTTTTTCACCCAGAGAACGAAGAGCAAGTTTGTGTTTGCTGGACCATCCAAGACTGCTGAGACCCTCTTCAAGTGGGTGTCTCGTTACAACTTGTGTCCCTTTTTTTTTCTCTATTTTGCTGCCATTAATGAACTTACAACCCTCATTTCCATTGCAACGAATGTCTCAATCTCATTAACTTTTGCTTGTACTTTGGCTTCTTTGTGTTCATCTCTCAGATATGTCGCTCCTGAACAAGTGCCAGTTCAGTACGGTGGATTAAGCAGGGAAGGAGAACAAGAGTTCTCCACTGAAGACCCTGTTACTGAAGTTGCCATAAAGCCAGCAACCAAGCATACTGTTGAATTTCCCATTTCTGAGGTAGGAGAAGGAAAACTCATAAATATTTTCACTGAGTTTTCTTATTTGATGCTGAATGATGCAATTGCTTTTTTGTTGCAGCCAAGCCTTCTGGTTTGGGAACTCAGAGTTGTGGGGTGGGATGTGAGCTATGGGGCAGAGTTCTTGCCCAGTGCTGAAGGTGGCTACACTGTGATTGTACAAAAGACAAGGAAGCTTGGGCCAGCTGATGAACCTGTGATCTCCAACAGCTACAGTGTTGGTGAAGCTGGTAAGATTGTGCTCACCATTGACAACCAAAGCTCCAAGAAGAAGAAGATCTTGTTGTACAGATCCAAGACCAAACCCATCTCTGATTGACTGTTGAAGCTGCAAAAATCTCCCGTTTCAATTTGATGATGAACACAACTGCAGGCATAATAAGCAGGGTTCTTTATTTATGGATGATACAATGTTTTCTTCTACTTTATCTTCTTTCTTGTTCCATTTGTTGAAATTTTAAATTTCCTTTCTCAAATTTGGATAGTCTTACAAAAACAAGATTGGTGGGTGGGAGTTGGATTTCTTTTGTATGCCTTTTCTCTGTCCTTGTTTCCTTGAGGGTTGTGATATTTTTAAGGTTGCTGCTGCTAAATTGGCAAAGAGCTGTCTGAAATTGTTTGGACTCTGAGGAACAAGAAAGAGAGAGCCTTGTTTGTTGATAGTACTCTGTAAAATTTGTGTAAATTTGTTGTATTATTTATTATTATTACTCTCTTTCTTCAACTTGTGTATTGGTTTATTTTTGCCCAGTTAAATCAAAGATTTGTTGCTTAGTTTCTTTCTTTGTGATCATCTTCTTTGTAAATACAGTTGTTTTTTCTTGTCATGATTTGCTTTCTGGCTAATGACTTGACTGACAAGTTTGAAAGAAATCCAGGCTGTCCTGGTTTTTCATAATGGAGATTTGAATTTGTGGAAAATGACTTTTCTTTTAAAAAATGGAAAAGACTCAGCTGGATGAACAACAATAATTGTAGAGAGAGGAGCTCAAATCATTCTCTCTCTCAAATGTTGTGGGCTTTGGCAAGTATTATCACAGTACAATATTAACTCTAATGAACGATTTGATGGATTAACTCTTCAAAAAAATTTGAGAGTAGCGTTTTCCTTTTTACGTCTTTGGAAGTATTGGAGTGAGTCTGTGGGTTTTTTCTAGAGTGTGCATATTTATTTTCAGATTTTTTCAAAGTATTTTTTATTATAATTTCTTTAAAACCTATTTTTTATTAATTGAAAACATTTTTAACCCTAGAGTATTATCAAAATTTATGATACTTTCGCCCCGTTTACCCACAGAATCAATGTGGGAAGAATTATAATGAAATTAATTGGAATAGGAACGTACTATAAATCTTCTGAAATCAGAATCATACCCCTTTCTTATTTATACTAGTATTACTGATCTTTTTTTAATTAAAATAATAGTAAATTTAAAAATTTTTATTATTATTTTATTGATAGTAAATATTTTTTATTATAACAATTTATTTAATATTAACAAATAATAAATAATTCAAATAAAATTACATCAACTTTTTTTACTAGGAAGAACCATCCTTTAATATAAAATATTATTAAAATTTATTTTTCTATGTTACTGAATTCTATTTTTAAAAATTTATTGACATTAATTAATAATAACAAAGTGAAATTAAATAGAAATTAGTAATATTTTACAATAAAATTACGTTCACCTTAGAAAATTTGTATACATTCTCATGAGAAGATTGTTAGTAGTATAAATAAAAATATATATTAAAAATGTAAAATAATTCATTAAAAAGTTACGAGTCTCATAAATAGATGAAAGAAAAAATGGTAAAAATTGTAAAGTAATTATTATAAAAGTGTAGGGCCTGTCAAGTAAAATAAAGAATAAGAATGAGATTACGAGGTTGTAGGAAATGAATGAGCTAATATCTTTTGAGAGGTAGTGATTATAAAGTTTGAGGTGGTCTCACCAATTGATTTTATTACTAGTAAACATTAAAGTGAATTTTGATTCACATCCCTAAACGGAGCGTTAGAGCTCAAAAAATAAATTAGAGAAATATCAATTTCTACTTGTATTTGACAAGATGTATCAAATGTTAACTTCAACTTTCAATTTCATCCAATTGTATTTTAAACTTGGATAAATTTTGCAATATTCATGTTAAATTTGAAAAGATGTTGCTCACGTCAATTTTTTTGTTAAATTTGAAAAAATGTTGCTCACATCAATTTTTGTTCAATAAATCGTTGAAAAAAAATATTCTTATGTTCAATTAATTTTTTTATGGAATTGGTAGAATTCAGACAAAAATGACATTAAAATTATTTTTTTCAAAAAAAATTACAAGTCTTTTCAGAGTTATTTAATGGTCAATTTTATGCCTTAATTAAATTTGATTTGTGAAAAGCTTGACTCGTTAATTTATTAAGGTTTTTTTTTAGTTTTTTTACATTAGTTTGAGTGAATCAGGAGAAATTGAATAAAAATTATAAATATAGAAAAGTTGGAGACTTCAAACTACTAACTTATTAGTTCATAATTTTATAATAAATAATACATTCTTTTAGTACAACAATTTGGAAAAATGGGAAATCGAATTTCTATCCTTAACGAAAAAAGTAAATGTCAATTACCACTGAGTTATGTTCATATTGTCAAATAAAGAATAGATTTAGTTATTCTATAAACAAAAAATAAAAGAATCTATATTATATACGACATTATATATAAAGGTGGCTATAGTGGAGAAATTTTATCTTCCCATTTTGCCACTCTTCGTTTTTAAATTTAATTAGTTTTCCTTATTGATTTATAATTAGTTTTTTTATTTTGTATTATTTTAATTATTTACTTTTATTTAATTTCGAAATCAACCTCTTGAAATTTTTACAAAATTAATTTATATTATAATTTTTAACTATCTTATTCTTTTTTATATTTTGTATACTTTAAAAGTGGTAAATAGGGAGAAATTCTTTCCCCTATTTCGTTTTTTCCATTTTTTAAAATTCTTTTAATTTTTTTCCTAATTTCTCAAGTTAAATTAAGATCTATATTATATATATATATATTACAATTAGTAAATCATTTGCCATATTGGCAAATACAGCAACAAACTCTTTTTTATTTCGTAAAATATCATAAAATTTTTAAAATCAAAATTTCAGTATTTTTGTTATTCCAATTTTATCCTAATTATTTCCAATATACTTAATAAAAGGTATATCAGTGACACTAAATGTATGAATAATATACTTCGTATTAAACATATCACTGATAAAGTTTCTTTGAATTTAAAATTTTGATTTAAGTAACCTTGGAAGTTTCTTAATGATATACCAAGTATATCAAAGATATAGTTCATTTAAGATATATCACAAATATATTTAGTGTGAATAAATATATTAGGTATATTAGACACACTAAATATTTCAGTTATAGACTTCATGTTATGTATAACACAAATTCTAACCATTTAAATGATGCCATTGAAATAAGGGATTTAAACTTAACTAAGTTGATAGCTTACTTCAAACTGAGGAAATCTATTGGAAGCAACGATCTCGAGAAAATTGGCTCCAATGGGGGACAAAAATACTAAATGTTTCATGAACGAGCAACTACCAGAAGGCAAAAAAAAACAAAAAAAAAAAAACTTAACTAACCTAGTTTTAGAAAATATTTTTAAAAGAATAAATAAATAAAAATGTTCAAGAATCAAAATGTTTAGGAAACTAGTCTAAATTATGGTAAATAGCATTCTTATCTTTTGTTTTTCCTTTTTGATATATATTAGTAACAATAGAACACGAAAATCTTATTTTATTTAAAAATAAATCATAGTTGGATTGATTCATAGCAAAATGGAAAGGAAACTTAAACTGTAGTGGCTAAGACTAGATTTATACAATTTTTTTTCAAATTAAAAAAAAATCTGTAAATTTTTATTGTAGATGCCATTTATAATGTCACTTGGATATTACTATTGTTCTAGGGTAAAATTGAGAGCGACATGTAGCCCTCTTTCGTTGGGATATGTATCTACCGAGTTGAGGAGGATAGGCTTGTGTCACACGAAGTAGAGTTCAGTTCGACTCTAACGAACTCCGTCAAAAAGTTTGTCTGTAAAATCTATGCTCACTAATAGGTATAGATGTTGCTTTGATAGAGTCCCGCTCCCCGATGTTTTTCCTTGCGAGAACAAAGTCAAACCCTTAGAAAAGGTATGTAATGTCTTGCATTAAACCCCAGTTTGTCACGGACTTGAATCCTAACTTAAGTTTTAGAATCCATTTGACTAATCAAATACCGCACTAGTATTAGGTTTTATCTTGTAAGTACCACAGGTTGGCCTAGACACTCTAGCGATATGCCACCTCAGCCAAAACCAAACATCAACAACCATAATTGTTGCTAACATTGGGTTTCTTTAGTTTTGATTAGATAATGAACGAATGGAAGGAACAGTGGATCCATGTGTCCATGTTTGGTTTGCAATCATTTAGCCCACGATTCTTATTCTTCCATCATTGGAGAAAGAAAATGTTAACTTTAACGTATCAATTCCTTGAAATTTCAATTTAAAAAATAACCCAAAACTTAAGTGGACCTCACGATTATGACATCAAAATGTTCTCCCGTTTTTCGAATTTCAAATTCTGCAGTTCGGTGGTTGTTCCAATAGTATTTCTCCAGACATATATTATATGTATCACTATCAAAATAAAAACATAATAGAAATTAATCTTAGCCATTACTAATTTACTACCACATTCTTGGCTGCTCTTTGCTCTCTCTCTCTTATATATGATAAGAAAAATAAATAATTATCTGATAATAATTATAGATTTTCTGATTTTTGGATTAGAAAACGAAATTGGTTTGGTAATTATTAATATTTTAAAATAATATTTTTTTATATCCTAAAATAATATCTTAGAAGTATTAATCCATACCTATAATTTTATACTATACATACATATATATATATATATATAAAAGTTGTCTTTTTTTTAAAAAACATTTTTTAGAGTACAACATATAGGGTGGGGATCGAACTTACAACTTCTTGATTAAACATATATGCCAACTACCATTAAATTATGCTCGCTTTGACTTCTTTTTTAGTCCATTTGTATTTGTTATCGTTTTTCATTTATTATTTTGATTTCTCTGAACTAAATAAATGTAAAAATTAAAGATATTGTATTTTAATTTTATTCAAATATATCAAAGGGTCCCTAATGTATTAAATAATTCTCAATTTGTTTTGGTTGTCAATGCTGCTAGTTCTATCCTACATCTTAAGAAACCATCGACAACTCTAATTTACATCCATCGTGTCACTGATCCTTTGACAACACTAACCCTCTGTTTGGAACTAGGATTTGCAGTGATTTGCAAATTAGAAATGATTTTGAAATCATTTCCTGTGTTTGTTTGGAAAGTAAAAAAAAATAAATTTGAAATCACAATAAATTTGAAATCACGTTTTAAATCTCAAAATTTTTCATTCTAAATAGCTTGGATTCGTCAGGATTTGAAATTGAAAAGTATCTAATTCCAAATTTACCCTACATTCACATAATGTTCAAACATGGTTTCATAAGCAAATAGTCATTAAAGTAAGTTACTTTTTATTTCTTTCTTTCTTGTTTCTCTTCTACAAACGAAACAAACAATTTTTGAATTATCCTTGAACACAATTTTTGATACATTTAAAAATTCTCTATAGTTTTTTTTCTTAAATTCATTTTTGTACTTTTATTTTAAAGTTCCCTTCTTGTG